CTTAATAAGAGAACAGCCAAAGCCGTTGTAGGCCCTCTAATCAAGTGTTTCACCAACCTTTATTGTGCCAAGCTCCACATAAGCCTTTCTAATATTCCTTTCCCCCCCCCCCCCGGTTTAAATATATATATATATATATTTCTATTAGAAAATTGAATCGACCAGCCTCACTAAATGAAAATTAAATGACAATGTATCAGGAATAATGAAAGAGGATTAGTAATGGATAGGATTTACACACTAAGGGAACACACTAAGTAATTTAAAAAAAAAAATATAACAGAGAACTGTAATTCAAATGCAAAATAAAAGATTTTCTCAAACATTTTAATTATTTATCGTTTCATTTATTATTTATTATTTTATCATTTTAAAGAGGCCAAATTTTTTGTTTGCCCATCAAAGTAGAACTCTGTTCTGCAGCACAAGATATCACATTTTATTTTTTATTTGTATATTTTTGAAATCTAAGTACAGTTTAGCTCATTATATATTTTTGGCCATAGTGGTGTTTTCTACTGATTTGCAGAATAGTATTTATTCTTCAGCAAAATTTCCTTTATCAATAGATCTCAAGTTATCAGTACGGCCTAATTGTTTCTCAAAGTTGATTCTTCAATTAGCACTGAGAATTTTGTTGTTTTCAGCTTTTCAACAAGTTTTATTTGAAAATCTTCACTTATTTAATCTAAATTTGTTTGTTTAACAGTATTGTTACTAAGGGACATAGCGTTCACGTCTTTTTCTACTTTTTCCAGAACAGTTTTACTAATTGCTGATATTGATGGTTTGATTAAAATCTCTCCAATAGTATTATTTTCCCCTAGATTTAGCTATGAGTAAAGAAATTTCATAGACAGCCTTAAGAGTACGATTGACAGTTTCAGTATGACCATTAAACAGAGAATTTAAGGTTGTTCTTTTTCCAAATTTTGTTCTTTAATATTTGAAGTTGTGGTTGGCCTTCCAATGCGCCTCAAGACTTTTGGTTTTCAAATTATAGACAGCACATTTGCGAATTGCCCCCCCCCCCCTAAACACTCAAATTATCCCCCATTTGAAGTTGTGGTTGGCCTTCCAATGCGCCTCAAGACTTTTGGTTTTCACATTATAGACAGCACATTTGCCAATTGCCCCCACCCCCTAAACACTCCAATTATCCCCCCCCCCACACTTTTCCCTCCCAAATTGGGAAACACCTCTATAATCCAATCAAGATTAGATTACTGTAACATGTGTTTGTGGGAATAAACCTCAAAGTCAAATTAAGAGACTCCAGAAGTTACAAAATACTGCAGCACGCATTTTATCACGTTTTAAGAAATCTGACCACATCAACCCTGTTCTTAAAGGTTTCTACTGGCCTCATGTGATTGAGCGAATTGACTATAAAATTATGTCCCTGGTGTACCACTGTATAGAAGGATCTTTACATGAACATCTTCAAAAACTTATTTCTAAAAATGTATCCACGCAGAACCTGCGCTCTTCAACACGGTCCTTACTGAAGGTTCCCAGTGTGGACGGAAACAGAAGTAAGTTATATGGGGTGCGCTTTTTTGAAGCTATTGCGCCTAAATTATGGATCAGTTTGAATCATTCCTTGAGGGAAATTGAAATATTTATAGACTTTTCTCTTTAAATATATTTTAGGACATCAGAGCGATGTGAGCATGCTAAAATGGCAAGGACACAAGCGATATAAAAGTATTCAATTAATCAATCAATGTTTTTTATGTATTTATACTTTTATGTATATAGCGCCATTATTTTAACATTAACTGAAAACCAAAAGATCTATATATAATATATATATTTATATGTGTATATATATAAATTTAAAAAAAAATATAAAAAAAATTCTTTACCGCATGAACGAACCAACAAAAAAAAACAGACAAACTTTTGGCGTCATTTTATGAATTTAGTAAGTCTTATGTATTTAAAAAAAAAAGTATGTCAAGTTTGAACCCTATGCTTATCTTATCAATTCATTATACGGTCTTTTTAGAATCATTAACAGAACGGTATATAAATCAAAACAACTAAAAGACTTTTATTAATTCCTATAGTTACTTGCCTTGTCTTCGATTGAGATCCTGTTAAGGAATAAAAATTATATTAAAGAAGTTCAATTTGCAATTATATGTGCTTCTAGAAGAAGAAAAAATAACAATAAATTCAAAACGTAACACAATCAAAATGTAATTAATTCCTCTTTTTTTGTATTTTAAAAGTAAACATTCATTTTAAACTGAAGAGTTTCCCGTATTCAACATGTTTGAAAAATTGATGAGAACCAAAAAATCTGAGACTTAATATATATATAGATTAAAATTAAAACAGTGCCTTGAAAATTATCAAATAAAAATTCTAGATTGTAAATTAAACTCGAATTTCTGTTAGAGAGAACTTGTGTGTACCGCTTGGAAAAACGCTCAATTATGAACCACAAATAATACAATGCAACTGTTTGAGAATCGTTACAAAAAAATATAAAAAATAAGTTAGTTGCTTTTTTAAAAATTTGATAACGTTATTGATAACAGTTTCTTTTTTTCGTTTTTTTTTCACTTACCCTTTTCTTAGCCTCGCTATTATATACAGTTACTTTGTACAGGTCAACTGAAAAATGAAAAAAAAAACAATAAAAAATAAAGAACAATTATTATACCACATATGTATGACCCTGTGATTATCTACGAGATATGATGACCAGCCTTTCCATTGACGCCCCGCTTCAACGGGCTTATCTAGGATCATCTTGGCTAAATAAAGCCCTGGACGTACTCAAAAATGTGTGGCACCCCACCAGCCCCCAACTCTCATCTTCAATATTATGTTAGTAATGAACAATTACAAAATTGACATGCGGGGCAATCAAAAACTTCGCCCTGCTCCTGAGACACACCACTGGTTCTGGTCTCAGCCATATGCATCGTTTTAATCCCTTAAAGTTATAATAACCCCCCAATTTCTAACCTAATATTTTCTTTATTTATATCAGGCAGTTTATGCATTAGCGATTATTTTACAGTTCCATAAATGAGCACCGTGTTATTAAAACTTTACCTCTTTTTAAGATCAAATATTTGATCGCTGTAAAAATAATATTTATATTTATATTTTTCAAGATTCAATACATTTTTTAATAAGATACATACAATAAAAAATGCCGATTAAGAAGAACAAAATCAATGGAAAAAAGGATTTTTATTGATAAACACGTCTTTATGCTGATTGATTTATAAGAACAAATTGAGTTTTTTTTTCATTTGTTTGGTATGCTTCCATAGAAGAAAAAAAGTCATATCGATGTCGTTTCTTTTTTTTTGTCTGGACGGCCTAGGCGCTCATTCGCGAACAAATAAATTCATAAGAAAATGTATTCAATTCAAACCAGTAATGAAATATATATTTGTTTTTAAATTCTGTCTTTTTATATTGAATCCATATATCTGATGCAGCGTACACATACATAAAAAATACGTTTACTCATATTATATTATTATGAACAAATTATGTAAGACAAGGACTAAGCCGATAAAAACTTTAAAAAACTTTATGTATAAATCTAGAAAATGTATAACCGCTACATGAGAAAGGTCAAGCTGAGACATCAATTATATTTGAAATAAAAAAAAATTAGCTTTAATTTAAGTCAATATTATTTTTTTTTTGAAGTCTTTACATTTTTTATTTATTTATATAATTTAATCTATAATTTCATCTATAATTTTTTCTATAATTTCAAGTTGGGCTGCATATTTAATTAAAAATAAAGAATATATATCTATATTTCTTTATTAATGTATATCATACATCCATTATTTTTGACAGTTACAAAGATTTTGAAATAAACATTGACTAACCAGAGTTTTCAGTAGCAGTGATAAGTTTGTCTGCCAAAAGAGAGACAGCCCTCACAATGTGTGTATCGTCCTCACCTTTATCTACACATGTGGGTACAAATAAATTATATCTTCAGTTTTTAATTAATGTTAAAATAAACACATATTTTGAAGCGTTCGCAAAAATCTCTACCTTATTTACAAAAAAACGTATTTAAAAAGTTAGTAGACACACATATTCGGTTGAATTAACTCGGAGAGTTAACTTGTATGTTATGCCTTAAAATTTGATATCGCAGGTCTTTCTTTCCCGCATGCAGACACGCACACACACGCTCACACATTCCACACAATCTTTTTTCAACCACATACAACTATACACCTTCACACATAATGAAATGAATTTTATAAGCCGAAAAACATTTTTTTTTTGGATAACACTGCCACGTTTTGTTTTAACTATTACGATTACATGTTGAACGTGTCTATCATTTAATAGTAAAAAAGAAAAGGGATAATGTTGGACATTAATAATACCTTCGGATCTTTGAATTTCGTCGGCACAAATCTTCAACAACTGCAGGATTAAAGTCACTCTCTTAGCCTCTTCCCCTAGGGCATCTGTGTCATTGAAATGTATGATACAATTTAGTTTTACAGAAGTTGACGTGAAAGGAAACCGAAAGTGTCGTTGTATACTTTTTAAAATTAATTATTAACATAAATGACAGTTTAAATGATTTTAAAAACAAAGTAATACCATTTAAATTAAATTCACAAGTACACTTTTGTCTTTCCAAAAAAATATTTTTAACAGTACGTAATACATAATTAATGTTAAAAGGATACAATTTTATAAAATTATTTTATCAATCCCTGTCTTTAAGAATTTTATGAAAATTTTGTTGGAATGGTGTGACAAACAAACTAGAAAAACAAAAACAGAAAAAGCAACTCATCAAAAAAAAAATTAATAAATCGCACAAATATTAACCTAAAACATTCAAATTGCCCAAAGCTCTTTTCAAAAGTAATGCATCATACAAAATATAGTTGTTTTTCCGAGCTTCTCAATGGGTTAAATGCTCTACCATTAATTAAAGTTACATGACATTTTAAAAAAAAAATGGAAGAGGCGCATAGGATTGCTATTTCTGCGTCATCTTATTTGATGAATGTTTTCATACCAGTGGTTATCAAATCAAAAGCTGTGACGTGACTGAATCCTGAGATAATTTTGTTGATGTAATTATTGACGTCTCCATTAAAAACTGCAAAAAAAAAAAATAATAATAATTTTTGTCATACATTGGTAGTGAATTATCAAGAAATGAAACAATTAATGCTTTACATTATTAGTGAAGTATCTAGAAATGAAAAAAAATTGATGTCATATAATTGGTAGTGAATTATCAGGAAATTAAACGTCTCAATGTCATACATAAGTTTTGAATTATCAAGATACGACACTATTAATGGCATACGTTAGTAGTGAATTATCAAGAAAACATTGTTCAAGCATTAAAAAAATGAAATAAATAATACATTAATTTTCCAATCTTTTTTTTTAATTTTCGGATTTAAATCTTCCAAATGAATAAGTAAGGATCTATCATAAATCTATCATTATGCGTGTGTAGTGTTCTCTTGTTTTTACAGTGAATCGCCAGAGTATTACATTTCAATCTCAATTGATGACACAAATTTAATTTGCAATGCGTTTACATTTGATAACATACATTTTAAATTAGTCTCTTGACGGATAAATTAGCACATGTTTACACATTTGGTAAGTCTAAATGAGTGATTCTGAACAATATTGAAACATAAAATATTTTTTTTTCTAATAAAAAAACAACAACAAATAACAGGCGTTGTATTATTTAAAATGATAATAGTGGAGATTATATATTATACAAAGGAAATGCACAGTGGTACAACGTAATCTTTATGACCGGTAGTAATAAATCGATTTCTTATTACTTGATCACTACCACATATTATATTACACATGCTCGTTGTTCTAAACTCGATGCCAATAAGTTAAGTAGGGTCCATTAAAACATACCCAATGATAACGATTTTAAAATAAAATGAATACTCTTATTTTAAATAATGTCTTTACTCTCAATTCAAAGGAACTTTATCAGATCTTTGTTTACTTGGCCCAACCATGATAACAACGCATGATATGAAAGCTGAAATGATACGCACAAACCCATTATGCTCTTTTGTCTCCGAATTTTCTTGTTCCTTTCCGATCTCATCCCATATCATCTTTTTTTATACAAAATACTTTAAAACTAAATCATGTATACACATGCTGCTTACGAAAGCTTTTGGAATAAGATGACAGGACTAAGTCCATGATAAAAAAGTCCTACAATAAAGTGGAAGGACAAGGTACCTTATACAAAAGTCCTACAATAAGGAGGCAGAACAAATTCCCTAACACATAAAATCCTACCATAATGTGACAGATCAAAGTCCCTGATACAAAAGTCCTACAATAAGGTGGCAGGACAAAGTCCCTTGTACAAAAGTCATGCAATGGGCCGGCTTTATCAGTATCTATCTATGGGCTGGGTATGTTGCGAAAATGCCAGACATCATACTTCAAAAAAAAAAACAACAACTTATTTTCGATGAACTCTCCAGAAGGAAACGCAAAGCTGGTGGGCAGAAAAGACGATTTAAGGTCTGTTTAAAAGCGACGCTCAAAACCATATAGTTCCATCTTAATTCGTGGGAAACACTTTCTATGGATCGTAAAAGCTGACGTGGTGGACTCATACTGTTAGAGCACAATCCTCAGAGAATAAACACACCCCTTAACGCCCAAAGAAAGCGCAAAACTAGGAAAAACATAGTCGACCCCAATCCAACTAGAATGCCAGACAACGTGTGTCCGACGACGGAGAAAGCTTTCCAGCCACAAATAGGACTTGCAAGCTAACTGCTTTGAATATGCACACAGTCGAATATAGCCTTACTAACCAGTTGAATATAGCCTTAGTCACCGTGGAATATGGCCTTAGTCACCGTTGAATATGGCCTTAGTCACCGGTGAATATGGCTTTAGTCACCGGTGAATATGGCCTTAGTCACTGTTAAATATAGCCTTAATCACCTTTGAATATAATCTTAGTCACCGTTGAATATGGCCTTAGTCACCGTTGAATATGGCCTTAGACATTTTGGCCAGCCGAGGTCGAACAGGACTTTGATAGATTAAAATACGTCTTCAGCCCAAAAGACACCTTCAGATCAGTAGCGTTACATGAACCAGTGATTTAAAAACTTATAATGGTAATGCCAAAAATAAGGCATTTTTTTACTCATTGTATAAAAAAGAAAATAGTTATAAGTTGTCATTTAACTTGTTTTATCTAAAAAATCATTAAATTAGCGAATGTAAAACGTCATGGAATTCTTTAAAATTGGAAGTGCAATTTTTATTCTATTCCAGTGTAGCGTCCTTTTTTATATCATTATACCATTTTATATCATTCAATTAAAGAGAAGAAAAAAAAGACTTTATAAGAAAATTATACTGAATGAAACTGACCCAAATAGATCTTTTTTTGCGCCCAATAAGCGCACTTTGTTATTACTCACCCTCAACCTGGTGTGCGTCGAGCCACGCCTGTGAAAGAGATTTCAGTTTGTTGCCCGATGCCAGCAACTCATTTGCTGTAATACCTACATTGGATTAAATAAAAAGATGGATTTGATTAATAATAAAATCCAAGAACTAACCATGCTGTTGCAGAACGTTGATACATTCAATTTTACGACAAATGCATGTAATTTTAAATGTAAAATAGATGTCAATATACTTATGAGCATCATATAAACATATTAACAAAAATAATTTTGAAAAAATAAGATTTTTTATTATTATAATATCGTAAGTTTTAAAGCTTACACATGCATGACCAACAGATATGACCGGTTAGACGAACAACAAATAAAAAAAAGTTAATAAATAAACAAGCACAGCAAGCATTGAACTACAGTGTTTGAGCGGCGTTTATCAAATAATCTCCAACTAAAAAATTCTAGGATTAAAGGCTATGTCTTAGACGCGGCACATGTCGGGAATAATCATCGCTCCAGAAAACTGGTTTAAGTCAAACGCGTCACCAACAAAAGAAAAAAAAGTGAACAAATGATTTTAATTAAAAAATTAAAACAGACCAATAAAGTTACCTTTTAATGATGATTTTGCTCGTTACAGTAATTTATTATAGTCTTTGATATAATACTTTTTATTCAGTAAGGTAATAAATAGAATTTCACTTATTCAATAAAAAAATGCAGAGAATCTCATATATTAATTTCCGTTAACTATTTTATGTGTACAATTTTTATTTAAATTAGCTTATTAAACTTGCTAAATCAATATCAACGAGGCAATTTTACTACATTCGGGAATACGATAATTGAATTGTCAGCAAGTAAAGACTAAAAAAACCCACAAAATTGAGCAGAAATAAGGATAAGCAATACCTACTTTTATTGGCGTGCAGCAGTAACTGATTGATTTCATCGACGATGGTGCTGCCCACCACTGTTTCCTGTTCATGCACATCCCGACTTATGGGGCCTCCACCTAATCCACCGCCTCCGAACCGGCCCCCTCCACCCCTACCACTTCCACCAAGGCCACGTTCTCGATTGTGACTCTGAAAAACATGTTGTAGCATATTACATTTGATTTCTCATATCTGTAGTTCTACACACAGGTTTGCTTAGGATAGGAACTCGTTTTCAATAACTGGAGGAGACTGCAAGAGACCATCAGGCGCAAATCTTCCATTGCAAGTAGACATTTTTAGAGACTAATTAAATTTTAGTAGCTAGGTATTTCAATGCAAAGAACGAAATAAACTCCAAAAGCTCAGTGATTGAGTCAATCAAAAAGCTCACTGCACTTTGTCCGATAACAAAAGATAATTATAGCTGAGCTTAAAAATACGTTAGTGTTATGTTATGTGTTATCGTAAAGATAGTGTTACGACACTTTGTGTCTTAAGAAAGTGTTGCGTGAAGCCATATCTTCTAAAGTGAAGTAAACAGCTGATGTAACGCTGTCACAGCAGTCAACCACTCTCATGAAATCAGAACAGCACAACTCACCGCGACATATCCCGTTGCGGCGCTCAACAGACACACAACTGCTACGAATCCTTTCATTATTATCCTCGGACCAATCTCATAGACCATGAACGTCGACATGAATACAAGCCCAACATTTATAATGGTTGTGTGTGGTGTTAACATCCTCGACGTGTCTGAACAGATGTGACTAAGTTACAATGTGCGTCTCATCAGCAGAGTCGGCCTCTCAAGTGTCAACTGTAATTAACATGCGATCGCCCTAGGTAAGAAGCTGTGATATCCACTTATGTCATGTAGCAAACAAGGATTTAAAGTCTGAAAACAAACTGTTTGTCAAGCAACATGAACAAAAATCGAAGGTGTGAAGAGGGAAAAAAACAACACAATATTACATTTAGAAAAATACCATTACATATTGAAAAAAATGTAATTCTGGTTTTCATTAGCGACATGACATGACTTAAAAAAAAAAGTCTTCGAGACTGTTAGTGACATGACATAAAACAATTCCTTGAGACTGTAAGTGATACGGCATAAACAAGTCTTTGAGACTGTAGGGGACATAATATAAAGCAAGACTTTGAGACGGTTAGTGACATTACATAAAACAAATCTTTCAGAATGTTAGTGACTTGACATAAAGTCAACGCCGTGTGACTGTCAGTGTCATGACTTCAAACATGGCTTTCGAGACTTAGTGAAATGGCATAAAACAAGTCCTTGAGACTGTAAGTGACATCGCGTAATAAAAGTCTTTGAGACTGTTAAGGACATGGCATAAAACAAGTCTTTGAGACTGTAGTGACATCATGTAATAAAAGTCTTTGAGACTGTTAGTGACATGACACAAAACAAGTCAATCAGACTGTTAGAAATGCTGGCAATTTCTAAAGATTTGGTTTTTCAAAATTCTTTGAACAACAAAGTAGTAGCGTTTAAGGGATATGTGTTAACATCAAACACTGGTCTTTTTTATGTCATCATGTCCATTACATTATATTAATGTGAACAATATTATTAAACAAATAATTAACAAATATAATTATTTTTACTTTTTTCAATTACTATCTAAGTTCTCTTATGATTTAGATTATTTAAGTGAGACATTTTAAAAGCAATAAGAGGATCACGTGGCCATATTTGAGAAGGTTTTATAACGTTATGTGCCTGAAATAAATTTCAAGGTCAGCCAGTATAAAGAAAGTCATTGAAATTCACAACTACCGCAAACAAAACAGACAAATAAAGTGAATTCATTTTGTATAGATGTGAAGATTTATGCATTGTATAGATTTAAAGTCTACATATATTGTTCTATAGAACTAGGGAATTAGGCTCGTTCCATCAGTCTACATATATTGTTCTATAGAACTAGGGAATTAGGCTCGTTCCATCAGTCTGCATATATTGTTCTATGGAACTAGAAGGGCAGAAAAAAGATAAATTAACTTGGCTAAAGAGGAATCAACGTGAAAAATGTGTGATTAGAAGGTATATGGCTTACAGAAGCAAAAAAAAAACCGTATGTCTTGTTTATTCACGACATTCCCCCCCCCCCATACACACACACTTATTATTGTTTATCCATTATCTTCTTTCAAATTAATTCTGTTAAATTGTTTTCGTATTTTATAGCAACTACTTAAATTTGTATACACTCGTTAACGAACACAGATCAACTCAAGTGTCTATTTCAATGCTCAGAGCGATATAATGTTCGTCATGACACTAATATTTTGTGAATAAAGTTCTGTGGTACAGAAGCCTAAATTATATTTCAGGAGACTGAGAAGGGCAGTAGGAGACAGTAGACCTATATTATACATCAGTAGACTGAGAAGGGCATTGAGAGGCAGTAGGCCTAAATGATACTTCAGTAGACTGAGAAGGACAGTAAGAGACAGTAGGCCTAAATGATACTTCTTTACACTGAAGAACAGGAAGAGAAAGTAGGCCTATATTAAACTTCAGTAGACTGAGAAGGGTTGTAAGAGGCAGTAGTCTTATACTTCAGCAGATTGAAAAGGTCAGTAAAAGTCAGTAGGACTAAGTGACAGTAGGTCTAAGAGGGATTATGCCTAAGAGACAGTAAGCCTAAGAGGCAGTAGGCCTGAGAGACGGTAGGCTCAAGAGGCAGTATGCATGATTGTCAGTAGGCCTAAGAGGGAATAGGCCTAAGAGACAGTAGGCATAAGAGGCAGTAGGTCTGAGAGACAGTAGGCTTGAGAGACAGTAGGCTTATGAGGCAGTAGGCCTATGGGAAAGTAGGCCAAAGGGACAGCATGCCTCTATGATAGTTCAGGATCACATGTTCCGGCAGATATCATCATTATTCTTAATGTATTTGTTTAAACACTGCACCATCTTCCTTAAAAAAAAAACAAAAAAACTTGTGTTAAAATTTGTCAGTCCGTCTAAATAAACAAAAATTACACTTTGAAACAAATGTTTATATTTTTCTATTTAGGCAATTGTAAACCAATTTATTTGACAATAAACAAACACAGATAGTTTTCTTTTTCAAGTTTATTGAAATTACTGTTTGCCTCAAGCCATTGTTCAAGCGTTGTTCGGACTTCGTCAAGATTCTATCCCCAATTGAATGTGCCCATGAAGCCCCATCGGCCCTTGTCTTCGTCGTAAAACGCGCTTGAGCTGGCGTCGACGTTCCCATCCTTGTAACCGGCATTGAAGCCTCCCCTGTATCCTGTGTCCTCGTCCCAGGTCAGCCCACCACCAAACTGCCATGGTCCTGGTCATTTAAAAAGAAACTATAATTTAATACATTTACATTTGTTGTTAAAGGAATAATATTAAATTATTTTTTGTGTACTCAAAATAGCAATAACTATTATAATGAATATCAGTTACTATTATAATGAATATCATTAACTATTATAATTAATATCAATAAGTAGTAAAATGATATCAAAAACTAGTATAATGAATATCCATAAATATTATAATGAATACATTTGTTTGTCTATAAATGTGTGTATATATATCTATATGTATATTTATATTTGTATAGTATTTGTTGTTATACATATGTTTGTATACATATGTTTGTCTAAATATGTTTGTAGTTATATGTTTGCATAGATATGTTTATATATATAATTGTTTAAATTTTTAAATACATATGTAAATATTTTTTTTTAAAATGTGCCACCCCCCATATTAAAAGAAAATGTTTGCACTCTTGTCTTTATTATTTAAGTCTATGTAATTTACTTACCTTGTCTACGAGCGAGACCCTGTTGAACACGTGGAATTAGTATATTGGAACAGTATATTGGAATTTCTGACTAAATTTTGTAATTATATAATATTGATTATATATTTATTCAAATCATTTGAAAGTTTAAAAAGTCAGGTAAAGACAGACAACGGCAGGTAAAGATATGTACTGACGTGTAACGACATGTAATGACAGATAAAGATATGTAATGAATGTAACGACATGTAAAGAAAGATAACGACATGTAAAGACAGGTAACGACAGGTAAAGACAGGAAACGACAGGTTAAGAAAGGTAACAACAGGTAAAGAAAGGTAACGACAGGTAAAGCTAAATTTTTTTTAGTGCAAGGAGAGGTGGGCGGGGCTAATGATAAAAAAAAATAATTTTATTTTGTCACATACCCTTTTGTTCCCATCTTGGTTACTAGTCTCAACTTTGATCAGGTCAACTAAAATATAGATAATGGTTATATAAAGTCTACTATTCATGTACAGAATGTCATTTTATTATACATCATATTATTACAACATTAAGGTCATAGGGGATCGATAATTCGATATTCAAAACAATGAGGTAAAATTAATTAAAAAGCCAAACATATTTTTACTCAAGAAGTGTTTTTTTAAATGTTATATTAAAGCTAAAACATTTTTTTTAAAGTAATTACAAAGATCAATTTTGTAAATCAAAGTATTTAAAAAGCCAATAATGCGAAAAAAATTAATTTAAAAAAATGATTACTGTACACCACAAGAAGACACTAACCGACAATGTCTGTGATACGGATTAGTCTAGCAGCCAACCGGAAGACTGCCTTCAAGACGGGTCCGTAACTGTTACCTTTGACTGAAATTTGGGACATAACATTAACTAATTATTTTGAGTTAAAAAACGTTTAAGCAATAAAAAAATATATATAAAAAATTGATGCGTTAAATTAATACATTTAAAATTGATGTTTTTTTTTTACACAACGTTAATGCACGTTATTAATGTGTTTTGTGTTCAATAAACGCATATAGTTGTAGGTTAATATGATAATAATATATGAGAAGTGTAAAACTTATGGTCATTGATCGTGAGGAGTCGTTGGCAACTTACTTCCAGCTGGGGGGGGGGGTCGAGAATTTGTGACACTTTGTGACAGGGGGAGGGGGTCAACAAATGTGTGACGTTCTTTTTTTTTAAATTCTAAAATTTTCTAATTTTGGAAACTTTTTATTTAATTAATTTTAAAAACATTAAGTTAAGGTCGAAATTGACTCAAGTATTAAAGGTACTAGGAAACTCAGTTGCTCACATCGTTTGCACATATCGAAAATGACGAGAAACTATTGTGGCAATTTAACATTCGGCTTGCGGATGACTTCGTTGATTTGCGTCACAGTTTTCTAATAATAGTAATCTTAATGCTTTATGGGAAAATATAAGAGAACTAAATGAAAAACAAATCTTACTTTATTTTTGAAAATTTCATGTTTGTTTTTTGTTTGTTTCTTTTGTTAAAGGAGTGACCTCACAAAAGGGGGGGGGGAATTTTGACACTTCGTGACAGGGGGAGAGGGAGTCTAAAAAAGTAATTTTTCCGGGATGTAATTTACGGACGGCCCCTAAACAACCATTACCATGGAATTGTTTCTTTTGTTAAAGGAGTGACCTCACAAAAGGGGGGGGGGGGAATTTTGACACTTCGTGACAGGGGGAGAGGGAGTCTAAAAAAGTAATTTTTCCGGGATGTAATTTACGGACGGCCCCTAAACAACCATTACCATGGAGGATTTTGATTCGTTCTGCACATTCCCTTAGCATCCTCAAGATAACCGTCACCTTGTAAGCCTCGTCATCTAAAGGATCTGAAGAGCGGTTTCATATCAAAACAAATAT